TTGCTCCCGCCCTTGATTCTCTTCAACGTCGTCTCCGGTACTCTCACCACGTTCCTGTTTCCCCCCCCCTCCTCCCTCGGGCCCGTCCCCCCTCCCGGCTTCCAGTCCCGTACAAAGCAAGTTCGCGTGGTGGTCGCGCCCTCTCCGTGCCATGTACTGCGCGGCCATTCCTCTGGAACTCAAAATCAAAGGCATCTGGTGTCGAGCCATGGGCCCCTCTAAATCGTACTGGCAGCGGGCGCGCACGTATTGCGCCTGCTGACGGGGTGCCTGAGGGAACAGGAGGGAGGGCAAAGGAACCGAGTCCTGGGAGAGGGCTAGGGACCCTCCAGGCTCCTCGACCCAGCCATTGCAGAGACATACCAGGAGGAAGCGTGCACAAGCAACCTTGTCTGTGAGCTTGCAGGTGAGTGCCACGGGGGTAGACGGCATGCAGGAGGGGGGAGGGGGGCAATGACCCCCATCCTTCCGCCCGAGCGCCTCCCCCCTCCCAGTCAGACGGACGGTTACCTGGCCCACGGCATTCCCCGCATCGGCGAGGGAATAAAAATCGTTTCCCAACAGGGTGGCCAAGTCACCCAGAAGCTTCCGAAAGCCTGCCAGGCTGCAGTGCGGGATGGTCGGGCGCTGCGAGGTCACCATCCCGGCGAGTCGGAGGAAGGGAACGAGGGAGTTCCATGCCAAGGCGTACAACACCTCGGAAAAGCGACCCGGAGGTACCCACGAGCAAGGACAGGCAGTGGGTGCGTAGCGGTGTTGAATGGATTGGAGCGGTATCCACGGTGTGTCGAGCACCAAGAAATCGGAATCACTAGAGAGAACAGCCGCATAGGCACCGCGCATGCACGTCCGAGCAATGTACGCGTCCGCCTCCATGATCGTATTGACTTGCCGCACGCGAGGCCCCCCCTGGGCGTGACTCGTGGCATCCAGTTCGTCCAACAGGAGATACAAGGCTGCCGTCACCCCCGTCCCCTTCGCGACCCGAACGTCCTCCTTGCGAAGACCTTTGGTGAGGCCGTGGGCGAGGTCCAGGAAGCTTTCGGAGGTGTCTTCCGTGTTTCTCGTCTCGGAGGACTCTCGAAGACGAGCAAAGACCCGGAGTATGAGGTCCCCTGCGAGTAGGGCCCGCCTGGCCCGGCGGCTTTGTTGAGTAGCGGCCTTGGCAGGATTGTAGCCGCCGTCATGGACAAAGAGAGTCTCGATTTCGTGCGCGAGGAAGAAATTTTGAACAAAGTAGCGAACGACGGCAACAAAATCCTGCCCGTAGTCCCCAAGATAGTGCAGGTCCTGTTTAGAACACATAAAGAGAAAAGTGAAACGGACGCGATTAGAGAAGTGAAGAGGGGCGAGCTACCAGCAAGCCGCCAGCCTGGCAGCCCGGAATCCTCTCAACTTGGATTGATTTTGAAAGCCTTCGCAACCTTTGCGATACTTAGCCTGCTTCAAACATTTTCCTTCCACAATTAAACAGTGGGATGCGTGGTAATGCACTCACCTGCCTGGGCATGACGTCCTGCAGTATCCAAAACATAAAAGAGGCCGCATCTACTATGAAGCGTTTTCCCGAGAAGTCTCTCAAATCCCTTTTCTCATATAGAAGGTCGCATTGTGGCTAGTTTTGGTGCATTTGTGTAAAAGCCACGGTGAGGAGGCGTATGATTGAGTTCGTGAGTGAGGCATTTTACAACGATATGAGCTTCCCGTGTAGGGTACAACTGGCTGATAATTCATACACTGTCATTGCACGCGCGTACCTTTTCGTGGCTCCAACTTGTCAGACGATGGACACCCATGAGATTTTCCTTCACAAAAAATTACTCTTGAACTTTGACACATTGCCTGACGTTGTTTGAGGGAATGCTCTCACGAGTCCTTAGCATCTTGACCGCAATGTCCAGTAATCAACAAATGACTGTGCAAGGTAAAATAGGTCTTCCGTACAATTTATGGAGAAGTATCGTCATGGATGAAATGTCGCGTGAGAAAATAGGCATCAATGCCATCTCCCTAAAGTAATTGGTCAGTCCGCCGGTGGATGGTAGGGAGGTTAAACTTACGTTCCCACGTCTGGCTATATTTGTCCCTTTTCCGGTACGCAGCTAATGTGTATTCGGCACGTGTGACAAGTAACACAAGTGTTAATCATGGATCCTATACCAGCAGCTGCAGCGGCTGCGGATTTCCAGCTTCCTTTCTATGGGTGCCGTGGAGTTATGCATAAAGCTGTACCGGCTGTAGCAAGAGCAGTTCCCTCAACACTCCTTTGATATCGTTTCTTCAAAAAAGGAGGGACGAATATGACTGTGTGCGTAAAGCTGTAATTTTCATTGATCGATCGAACTTGTGACCCGCGTCGATGGTTTGGCCTTGACATGAATGCACACATGTATATAAAGAACCTAATTATGTCAATGTAATACTCGAAAATTTGACAGAGCCCCCCTTAAAAAAGCCTTGTTCTCCGCAAGTCTTCCGGTAATTTCCTTTTTTTGTCTCGAAGGCACTTTCTGATTTTGACATTGCGATTATTTCATGAGGATATCACTGTATTTCCATAACGCTTTGTGCAAGCAATATTTATCTTCAGCGTCTTTCCACCCCTCCATTTCCCCCAATGTTCTTTCAACTGCGCAGCATTAATGCCTAACTAAGACGCATTGAAGCCATTATTGCTGTTGCTGTTGTTCGCCTCGCTAGCTAGACCGCTACCATCCAACCAGCTGTCGGACCCCCCACTCTGGAACCGGGTTGGTGGTTGCTGCTGTGACGGCAGGCCTGGTGGTTTGGGTAGCTTGGGGTGATTATAGCGCTGCTCGATATAGTCCTGATCAGGATGGAGATATCGGGGTTGCCGTGGCGGTTAACGTTTGTGCCCGAAATGCCTTTGTTTGAGGCGCTATCCCTGCTTCGTCTCAACCTTCCTCCCCCCCTGGCTCCCTCTCCTCACCCTCCG